TTCTTTTCTTACCTTTGTTGAGACAATGGGGCCGCGGCATATTCTCTAAGTTTGTCTATATGGAGTCAGTCAGGAGATTAATCTGAACTGATTTAAAGTGGATTAGTTAACTGCATTAAATCCTTGAGCAGAGACACACTGTTTTCTTACCCATATCTTCCATTTATAATCAAAACTCTGTATACTCAAAGTGGCAAGTTTGGCAGTCCTCACTCAAGCAGAATTCTCCACTGCGAGATGCATTTGGACAGGGACAGCAGTAGTTGGCTCACTGGCTCTTGCACTACCCCTTGTAGACAATTATTAATCTCCCTGTTATATAAATGATAAATTTAAGTCAAGAGGCTTGCTTGAGACAGCGAAGACTATAATTCAGGTATGCCTCCCAGTTCCCAGTAAGCAAGCTGATATTTCTATCTGTAATGTAAAGAAAGTCCTATTTCCTCTTTGGATTGTTAATCCTGAAAATGCACTCCACAAAAACAAAGTGACATTTCTCTTAGACATCATTGAAACATTTTGCCCTGCTGTTATCAACTGAACATGTGTTTTCTAACTTTTACGTTAAACTCACTAAAGAATATTAACGTTAAAAGATTTCAGTAGAGTTAAAGCACAATATTTAAGTCATCTTGACATTTTTATTAAATATGAAAGGAAATTGATATATTGTCATGGAATGTTTCCATCTCACAAATCAAAATTTTTGGCAGAAAGTTACAACATCTGAAAGTTTTTGGCCAGCTCTGTGAAGAGGTAAAAATTTCTACCTCATACAAAAAAGCTTATGCCTTTCCAAACCATTTTTTTAAATTGTTTTTCTTCTTTTCTGCCTGGAAACTTTACATCTCTACTCAATATGGACCATTTATTTCTCCACTTTTATTACAGTCGAGGGGGCAAAATGAAGGAAAGAGGATCCAGAGAAAATGTTATTAGTGATCCAAGAGGAATGTTCTGCCAGAGTTAATCTCAGTGACTGATTTGGGAAGGGGCTATTCAAGATACTAATATATAACTTCTATATATTGGTGATAATTCCAGTGCTCTGGCACCTAAACAGTCATGAATCCTGTCCCAGGTTATATTGCCATTTACTGCTTTAGCAATTACCTTAGTATTTGGGTGTAGGAGAACACTTCAATTGTGAACTGTTACTTACCCTGTGATAGACAGGTTTAACAACCTGCTTGACTGGCTTAATGGTGAAAGATTGCTGTTGGAAAGGTTAAGTGCTGAAAGTTCAGTCATTTGCACTTTTTCAAATTGTCTGTGCATCAAGTCAGACACTGAGGGACCGAGCCCCTGGGCCTGGCACTTTGGAAATGGCCATGCAGGCAAAGGCAGAGGGCATGCCCGCAGCTGGCAGCTTCTGTCCCCTAACGATGTGGCTTCTGGGCAGGAAGGGAGGGCAGATGCTCCCGGATGGTGCAGCGTAAGCCCCAGCTGAGCTCCAAGTCTACTGGCAACAGACCAGTGGCGCTTGCCTTCTGGTGGTCTTGCTTCCGCGGGGAATGCTTGTCTGGGCTGAGCTGGAAGAGAGGTCTACGCCACCCTTCCTGCTTTCCTTTTCATGGCTGGAGCACCATTCTTCTCTGCTGTCAGAAATGGTGCTCAGGAAAATGTACCTGTGTAGAAATCACAGCCTTTCTGATGCAAGAAAATGTCTCTGTTGATCAGCTCTAAGGGGAAATCTTCCAGGCTTAAGCCGTTCATTCATATCTAAGCCTGAGAAAATTCATACTTTGTAAGAAAACATTTGAGGAACGTATTCCTCTACATTTTCCACAAAGTTGAGAAATGTGTCCTTGAAAAATGGCAACAACAACACAGCCTTCCCAAAACGGCAAACTCTGCAAAGTTCCAGTCTGGTAGAGATGTTTGAATAAGTAAGTACAAAGCCTGCATGAAAATGGTTAACTTGATAAACAGCAAACTTAGTGAGGGATTGACAGCAAAAGCAGTGGACAAGAAGAGAGTGGGACCCAAGTGCCTTTGCTCCATCCCCAGTCTTTCTGCCAGCTCCATGCAGAAAAGCCCCATGTGCCCACAGGGCGACACATGAAGCTCAGCAGCCCCTTGGTAAGCCAACACAATTGCTGGGGATTCAGGCCTGCAAAACTCTTTCTGCTTCCTTCGTGTGAAGGCTTTAGGGACTGATACTGCTTTTATTGAAGTCAAAGCTAAGATTCACACGGTAACAGGAGGAGGCCCAAGGCCTGTATTCACAGATGTATGAAAGGAAAGGGTTACAGAACTGGAACAGCCTTATTAACATCAATGCTGGTACTGAAGTCCTATAGGAATAATGTATATTTATAAATACTAAGATGACAGATTCTATAGGGCCCTTTGAAATTCTGAGTGCACGTTTTTTGTAAGGGCTCAAAGAATGGTTTTTGGCTTGATTTTCATTTAATCCTGTGATTGTATATTACACTTTCTAGAACTGGTTGCTTCCAGAAGGCCTCAGAGACTCCGAGTCATCTGTGACAGGTAAGCTACCTAAAACAGCAATGTTAAAATCGCCTCTGGGTGTATTTGTTTCTTTATGCAATCATTTAACTTGAAATGAGCTCTTTTGGCAAGCTCGGGAAAAGCAGGGTGGCTCTGTAGTAACAAGCAGATCTAACGTCAGTTAAGCAACTGATTTCAAGAGATCGCAGTAGAGGTAGGCACATAGTGGGTTTATTATTCTCAGAGGAGTAGTGATTATTCTCAGATAAGCAGTGATTCAATGATATTATGAGCAGCTTTTTGCGGGGCACGGTTCGATTCGGAAGGTTGTACTTTCCCAGGCCCTCTTGCCCACACTGAAGACAGACTTCGCACTGTCCCAATTTTCATTTCTGGAAACAGACTGTAGGAACATTGCTCAACAGTGGTAAGGAAGATGTGCTAGGACAGCATTTTCACGAGACAATGAAATAATCTTGTGATTAGTTAGGAGGGGAAAAATCACATTCTTCAGTGGTCAAAAGCTATGAGACTAGGGCCATGCTTACATACCTCGGCTTGACCAAGCACACCGCCTGATCACTCCCTAGCGTGCTAAGAGAAGGGAGTATTTTTCAAGCCTATATATGTACACACACATACACACACACACACACACACACATACATAATGTATATATGTATCAGTGAAAGAAACTTATAATCAGGCAAAGTGCCCAGCCTAGCTCAGAGAGTCATTAAAATCAAATTCCCCCCCCCAATACTGATTTTGAGGCACACAACAGGCTTTGTAGATATGTAGGAAAATACTAGACAGGATTTGTCCTCAGGATTGTGCTCATGCACAGGTCAAGAATCAAATATTCTTTGAGGACATAACCACATTTTTCATCGCAGCTGTGTATTATCTGTTCAGCTCATTGCTTGAGATCCAGCCCTGCTCAGAGGGAAGTGTGCTGCCCTTCAGAGCTGGGTTTCCCAGACGCTGTTTTGAATGGCTGAACAAACATGCTGAAGTTTTCAGCAAAACACAGGTTGCTGAAATGCCAGCCATTGTCACACACATCTTCAGAAACACACAAAGCTCAGCATGTCCCAAACCCTGATAACACAGGTCCTGGAACAGAACAAATCCTCTCTCAGCCTGCACAAAGAAATAACTGTATTCCTTGCAACTCTGCTGTATTGCGCTTCTGCTTTTTGGCCATAATCCCTTGACAGGCCCCATTACAGCCCCATACCGACGGGCTGGCCCAGCACCTCTGTGGCAGAGCTCTGGGCTGCATGTGGGCCAGCTCCAACTCTGCGTTACAGAGTCCTTATGCCGGTACGGCCGAACAGCTGCCTTGGCATGCTTGGCTCTTGAGAAGGAAAGAGCTGCTTCATACAGACCGCTCAGCCATGACTCTCCATGGCCAATTAAGAAATCAAAAGGGAGCTCTGTGCAGAACTCAGCCACCACCAGCAAGCCTGAGCCGTGGTGGGAAGCACTGAACCATGTTCCTGCCCGGTGTGGGAGCCTGCGGCAGCAGGGACCAAGGGGACAGAGGGTCTCCAGTAAGACCCTGCCATGGCAGGGGCAGCCTGTCGCGCAGCTCTAGCAAGGAGCCTCAGGCTGGATGCTTTGGCTCCCTGTCCCGTCCCTGCTCCCCAAGGCAGCAGGGGCTTAAACCGTTTTGCTGGAGGTGAGAATTCAGCAGTTACCTACCACAGTGAGGCCAGATACCTTTTATAAATCTGTTTCTCAGGATATCTCTCTCTGTGTTTTTTCCCTTCTTTTTTTTTACATTTTATCTCCTCAAAACAAAAATGTCAGCATGTCAAATGTCCTGTGCAGGGAGGGGGAGTGCAGGGGCAGGGGGATCCCGGTGCCTAATGTCACTTGGAGGGGAAGCACCGGCAGGGGCCAAGGGAGGAAGCACAACAGGCCGTGCTCCGATGGGCCTCCTGATGCTGAAACATGATCAGAACAAACAAACAAAGTAAAAGCTGTAAAACTAAATGACTGTTTTTATTTGTTTCCTTGTTGGTTTGTTTTCTCTCTTCCACTTCCTTGTTCCCAGCTGTGTGCTCCTCTAGAAAGCAGCCACTTGGCATTGGTATTTGCTGGGCATAGAGCATGTGTGTATTACATCTATTTTAAGCACTCGTCCTGAGAAACAGATTCATCACTGTGAATCCCCAACACGTTTTACAACCAGCTGCACTACCGGTACTAGGGTAGGAAAAGGGGAAATGGTATTTTCTTCAGTCTTTTAGTTTTGACGTCTGGTCTGGTCAGTGGGCCAGTCAGGTTATTTTGTGCACTTGCATTGTCACTGTGAACTGGTAACACCAACCTCTGATATTGCAGTTACGACATGTAAAATATACTCTCCCCAGCAGCATTTTCGCTTTTACTTACAACCTTCTTTTTACAAAAGAACAATTTATTTTCAAAATTACTCTGAAAATATGAGTTTGAGCTGAAATCCTGGCTGTGTATACTCCAACATAATCAAACTCACATGGAAAAGCAAATGTCCTGGAAAGCTACATAGCTGGGGTGGGTTTATCCAGCTCCCCTGTGTCCCTCCACTATCTCTGCCTCAAACTCTGAGAAGTTCTGGTTCCAGCTTTCTGGCTCATCTCCTACGCTATTTTTTCTCCTGTTCTCCTAGGCTGAGTAGGGTACCAGCAGCGGAGAATTTGGCCTCCAGGATGCTTACAGCCTCCCCTTGAGGCTGGATCTCTGTGCAAGATGCGCTTCTTCATGGCTTCTTCCACCGTCTGCCTCCTCAGCTCTATGAGGTTCCTGCTGGTAAGTTAACTCTCGATTTCATCTCACTAAGAAAGAGCTACTTCACATGCTATTTATTATGAGTTTCTTCTGTACTTTGAAAGTCTCTGCCATTCACCCGGATGTCTCTCTCTTCTCTGCCTGCCCTCCCTCCCCACTCCCATATGCTGCAAAGTTTACATCCCATTGCAAATCTGACAGCTTGTTTTTCTGTTTTCTTCCACTTGACCACAGTGTTAATACTAGAAGGGGGCCTGGATGGGCTGCCGCCATGGTACATTTACAAAGCGGAGGTGCATATGCTTTGACAGGTCATTTCTCCCCCATTCTGTAACCCCAGGGGCCCAGAGCTTTACCTTGGGCTGGCTCACACTGTGTATTCAGTGTAACTCACATGCTGGTCCCTCCTGATGTCCTGAATTCCCAGCTGCTCAGCATGATGTGCTAGCCCCAATTCCCTTGGACCGCTCCTCCTGCTCCCTTTTGATGTTCAGAGACAACAGCTGTTCCTCGTACCCTGTTGCACCAGTTCTCCCTTAGCTTTACCTGCTTTATTTTCGTCTTCCCTTGCTCCCTTCTCTCAAGCACACAGCTGCATACACACAGATCTGCCTCTCTTGCCTTGAGCTGACAATAAATATAGGGTCTCTCAAGCTACAGGTTCTGTTCCTCACTAGGAAAAGCTCCCTTCTATCGGGAAACACGCCAGAGAGCCCTCACATTCCCCGTTGCCTCCTGGGCACGTGCTACACTAGTTAGTTTGGTGGTTTTTTTAACATAGGGGCAATTAAGAAGAAGCCTTCTTGGACTGTCTTGTTAAGCTATTTGAAAACTTAATTTCTGGCTCCTGTGACACGTCCCAAGTGAAGGAGCAGCCAGCTAGCGTCTCTCCCAAAGCGCCGCCCTTCAGAAGGTGCCGTATGTGTGTATGTGCATGAGTGAGAGACATCTGCATTCCTTTTCTGTTCACCCAGCCACAGAGCACAAATCTACTTTGACACTTTTAGAAAAATGAAAAGATGGAATCTCGCAGGAGCCTGCCTGTGCCGGGGGGGGAGGAGGGGAGCATGCACAGCAGGAGGGAAGTTGACTTTTCTTTATACATATAGGGTTTTTTCCATGCAGAGTTTAAATTATGCCTGATAAAAGGAGTTTCGTGGATGTTTCAGTTCTTTCAAACCCTCCTGGCTTCCTCCCAATTAAATGAGGTTTGTCAAAGCCACAGGGCTCTGCTGCTGCCGGAGAGGCGGACAAGCACTTCCCGCAGTGACATCTCCAATCCCCAAGGGAGAAGATGAAAGTGTCAGCGCCGAGAGAGAGAGAGAGTGTGGAAAAAAACAGGTACAGAGACAGACAGTGTGAGAGAAAGGGAGAGAGTGAGGAGAAATAGAAGGAATGAGGAAACAGATTGGCATAATGTGTCAATCTCCCCGACATACTGCCAGAGAGGGGATAGATTCATTCCACCTGGATTTATGCACCATCCTATATTTATTATCCCCCATATTGCGGCGAGAAGTACCTTGTGGACAGGAAACTGCATGGCGTTATCATAGCAACCAATGCGTTGGGAACAGAATCAAAGTGCACAGGGCTGAAACAAGTACAGTATCATCATGCAAGACCATATTCATGAGTGACTCATTAAGCCTGTAAAAATTAGGCAATTCTGAATAATTTCCCATGTAGCCATCCCCATTGCCATAATCATGTAAGACATTTGTTCTCTTGTATCATTTTGGCATCACAATATTTCGGAATTTAACTATCATTTTAAAATTCTGGTTGCTATGAAAACACAGTGAAAATTTTAAATATATTCTGTTCCCACTTTGTTCTGGAGGATGCTGGCTATTAGTCCCCATCCTCTGAAGGAGAAAGTTAAAGCAGAAGGGCGAAGAATGAGCTGGAGATGAAAGGTGAAAGGAGGAGGGGGTTGATCCCAAGGTGTGCAAGAGAGTGAGCGGGAAACAAAAAAATAAAAGGTTCCCATAAGAAATTATTTTCTATTTTTATGAAATAATTGTAGCCGTAACTGTCCTTCTTATAAGTTGCTATGACAAGCTGGAAGCCAGAGGATGTTTTTCAAAGGTCAATTCCTGGGAAAAAATAATTGGAGAAATCAGTGTTTCGAAGATAAGTACCCCTCCAAATAGCATGTTTCTGATTACTGAGGGGAATGCTAATGGCTAGAGGCTGGCTGGGGGGGGGGGGGGGGGGGGGGGGGGGGGGGGAAAAGCCTCTTTCCAGAAGCACGAACACATGTCCTTCAGGTGTTAGTATTTGCCATAGCATCATCCAGAAAGGAGTCTTGATTTTGCCACAGTACTTTAAGTACTTAGAGTTCATTAATTGTGGTTATAACATTCTTATCCTGGAATAAATCCCAAAAGATCACTTACACGCATAAAAAACGTACCCTAGATCACCACCAACTGCTCATACCCAACACATATGAAGCAAACGTGTTATGCCTGAATAGCTACAACAGAGGAGGACAGGCCGAACAGACTCTTTTAGGAGCCGATTCCTCATGTGGTTTAGGTCAAATTATGCAGGGTGTGAGGGCTAATACGGCCATTCGTAATTAAGTATAATAAACTGGCTAGAGCATCATAAATGACAGGATTAAAATGGTTTGGGTACACCAACAAGGAAAAATAACTGAAGAGGTACATTTCCACTATTTTGCTAATGCATTGCTGTTGACATGACTTGTCCCTTGAGAACTTCAGTTTTGAAAGGATGTTTTCTCAAAAACATTTGCACATTATGATCACGCACCACAGCACAACTAATTAAACACCACTTTGCTAGGACCTTCACATTTGTTATAGCCTGTCTGCTGCCCCTGGGAAGGGGGAGAGGGAATGAGGGGCTCTTTGCTTCCTGGTGGTCAGCTCCTGCAGAGGGAACAGGTTGCTGTTGCTTATGCTCATCTGGATGCAAAGTGCTAGAACAAAAGAGTAGCCCACGCTGTCAGAGAGGAAGACTCTCTGTCCCTGAGTGGGGTTGGTCCACAGACGGGCCCCTCCTACAGCTGCTCGCTCCTGTGCCTCTAGCGCTAGAAGGCGATGCTAAGGCCCAGGTTCAAACCCCACTCATCGTCTCGGTGGCCTTAATTCTATACACGCCACCAGCACCTCTGGATATGGTAACAAAGGAGAGGAGCATGGGATTCTCTACTTTCCTTCCACTGTGGCTAGTAGCCTACAGGGTGGCAGCAATGACCTTTCATAAAACTGGCGCATTTGCTGTCCTTGTTCTGGCCTAAGCCAATCCTGAGACAATTATCTTTGTGCAGTGCAGCCCTGCACTACAGCAGCTCTGATAAAACTTTAGTCTAACCCTTTGCCACCTGCTAAAGCAGAATGTTTTCTGTCCAATTAATCACTCCTGGAAGAAAGATGAGATCCTTCAATCAAGAAAGCATGAGATATGCTCTCAACTCAGTGTCAGTCCTGAAGTGCAAAGGGCCTTCTGAGAAGGTATCTCACTCTGCTGTCAGACAGGTCAGACAAAGTAACAATTGCAGCTTATTATTCTTAGTTATAGATTTGGTTTATTTTCCCTCTCTCCAATGCTTTAGAGCAGGCTTGCAAGCAGGGAGGGTGAGCAATGGGATTTGGGGTTAGTACCAGTGTGCTCCCATGAAAACATATTGCAAGAGGAGCTCTGGCCAAACAACCCAGGCGCATGGGCCAGAGAGGCCTGAGCCGGCACCTCAGATCCTGTCCCCACCGGGCCGATGTCCAGGCTCAGTATAGACCTTTCTTACAGTTCAGGAGACATTCGACCCTGGGCAAACCATCAGCACAGCAGTTAGTCATCAAGTCCAATTTGTGCTCCATGAGGAGGATTGCGTATTACATGGATGTGATCCTGGCTTTGACTAGGAGGGACTTGCTCCTTTTGGGTGCAGTTGCTCTCTGGTTGTTACTTCCCACCAGCAATTCAAATCCAGTGCGCCAGCTGGTGATGACACTGTACGGTTTCTCCTAAAACAGCCCGCTATTCTGCTTTTCAGAGACAAGGAGGAGGAGGGAGGCTTGATGTTGACAGAGCACTGTCATTTTAATGCCTGTTGCATCTAAACTAATGCAAAGCAAGCATAAGCAATGAGGAGGTTAAGGCTGCAAGCCATTGTCTACCAAAAATCCTATTACTGTTGGGATTAGCCAGCGCTGGTAGATGTTATCACAGAGCACATACAATAAAGAGCTGGCTTTCATGGACATCTTGTTTGGGTTGGCTGCTTTCCCTAGGTTCTCCTACATAGCTGAAAGGTTTATATACTCACTTATATTTTTTTACCTCTGTGCTTTGCCACCTCTGTATGCAGCAAATGGATATCCTTCACTGCAAATCAGATAGATACAAAAAGTGAAGTTCCCACCAGGTGGATGAATCTGGTTTATAGTGTGTCTTAATAAGGGAATAAACCAAAGTTGGTGTTAAGCAGCAAATCAGCTGTCGCTCCTGAACCAGAAGTAGTCTTTTCTGTGAGGTGATAAAGCAAATCTTCACTTAACTCAGGAAAAACTCCCCTCACTTCACCTGGCCTGATCTCCACAGTGGTGGAAGGTCTGCTTGCGTAAATACTAACAGGACACTGAGGTTTTGTATTATGCCATTAAACCACCACCATAGGAAAGAGTCATTGCAACATCACAGCAGATGTGTGCCAAGGGCACAGGCCTCTGGAAATGTTGCCCTGCTTAAGCTCTTCCCCAGGTGCTGGCCTGGAGCAGACATTGTGCTGTCAGGTGCTGGACCCTGTTTAGGAGCACAGGGCAAAGGGGAAGATGGGAAAAGAAGGAAGGTTTCCTTTGCTCAGTCCCCAGCTCATGCTCTTGCAAAAGCACAACTGGCGCAAAGTTTGGCCCACATGACTTGTGGAAACAAAGTCCTACAGATGTAGATCAAATGCTCTGACTCCCATTGATCTCAGGCCAGAGAATCTCTATAAAGGTCTTATTGTTCAGGGAGATGAACTGCTCTTGGTGGGGGGAGTGCTGTTAATACCCTTCATGGAGGCAGACGCTATTGCATCAGAGGTTAGCAGACATTTTTCTGTATTTTGCCTAATTGCAAGTTATATCTGAGGTTTCTTTAACTTCCACTTTCCCTTTAACACTCTTAAATGCAAATCTGAGAAGATTTAGTTGTCTTGTTTGCCGCGAAAGACATCTGGACTGGAACTCCCATGTAGTCGTTTGCCATCTTCAGGTGCACTTCTGCCTTCACCCAGTTATCAGCAGAAAAGAGCAAATGGGGATGTAGTGATCAGATTTCTAAGGCACAAAAGTTAAAGCTAAGTTTGAGATTGTGACAGCAAGCAACCATGAGCCTAGGAACTCAATTAGCCTGAAAGACAACTATCTCATTATCTTTCCTAAAATGATATAAATACATAAGAATATAAAAATTTAAAATAAACTCTCTCTATTGACTGTCTAAATGACTGAATTTCACTGCTCAATTTCTTTAAACACCCACTTTAGTATTTATTTATTCTAAGCGTGAAGCAGCTACGATAATTAGACTGTCAGATTTGGTAAGTTAATGAGGAGTCACTGGAGTGGAAGGTTTTGCATTTGTGAGATTGCTGAAGGAGAGAAGCTCCGTGCCTTCGCTCTATCTCTTTTTTCTTTTTCTTTTTTTCCCCCTCCGCTGGGTGGGAAGGAAAGAGCTTGGCAGTGCGTAGATCCATTTGAATCCTTTTGATTAGCGGGTTGCATTCCCACCACTGTTCTACCAAATAATATTTTGCTGGTTGCTCCAAGAAAAAGAAAAGTTAGAAAGAAAAGAAACCATAGATGAGATTTCTAGAGAAGGGTGCCTAGGTTAAAGAAATCATTTTCCAAAAAAATCAGAAGGAACGGAGCTGTGAGAAATAGGATCCTGAATTAGTTTATATTGTGGCTAATGTCACAGGAGAGCATTAGGAAAGTAGCACAGTGAAGGAAAAGGACCATTTTGCAGCCTTCTCTTTAACCTGATTTTTCCACAGGACAATCAGCGCTCACAGTTCCAGGAGTAAGACTGCAACCTGAAATCTGTGACCTGTTTCCTTCTTACCGAAAAGGCCATTTCTCAGGAGGTTCAAGAGGGTTTTGGTAGAAAGCAGGGATGATTGATTGACTAATTCTTGGGTAAGTGCATAGTTGCCACTGTCAAAGCTGCTGCCATCATTGTTAGCACATGAATTCCTTTGTGTACTGAAGATGGGAAAACAGAACCAATACCCAGGGCTTGATGACCACATCCCAGGCTGGGGACTAAGTGGCAAATCTCACATTCAGAGAGAAGAGATCAGCAAGCCAGTGGCCCCCAATCCACAATGCTCATGGGAGGTTTGGGTTTGTTTCCTCATATTCCCAAGTCTCAGACCAATGCCCTTTCCTCTGATGCCTCCCCAGTCAAAATATTGCTTCATTTCCCCGTTGCTTAAACTAACCAAATTGCTTTGTTCGCCTTTGTCCTTCCTTGCCTATTGAGTTCACATTTTATAGCTCATTTGTTTTGGTTTCACACGCAATGGAACCTGAGCAGAGCTAGGCAAAATCTCCTTAGCCCTTAACATCCTTGGTTTTAATTAATCAGTATTTTAATATGACACCTCAAAATTATGCTTGACCATCAACATTTTTCATCTCCTTTTTGTTACAGAGGACCAAAAGATCACTTAAAATCACTGTTATTGAAAGAAATTACCAGAAAATACCTTTATTATATCCTGTCTCTTTGTTTACTTTGTGCATTTGTTAACAGCATGTGTCCAGTCAGTGTCACCAGCTGGGTCTGTGCTTGCAGGGCAGACCTGGAAACTGATCTTGAGGCCAAATTAGTTTGACCGTCTTATTGTCTGTCAAGCTAAGAGGCAACCTAGCTGTGATAGCAGGGCAAACCTCAGCTACCCGTCTGTGCTTTCAAATGCATGTAGATGGCATGTACCTGCTATAGGATCAGGTCCCAGCACTCAGTGCCTGGTCTCACAGCCTCTCTCTACCCCATCTGTCCTCATCATGTAGACAACAGCAGGCAGACAGGACAGCCCTGAGTCCTTGCAAGAAGGACCTGACACTGCCAGCCCTATGGCCAGATTGGGTTTTGGAGGCAGCCTGAATACATTCCCTGCTCACCTGCTCAGCTAAGTGCAGACAGGGCGGCTGTTCCCTCTCTGTGATCAGAAAGGAACTAATCCTGCCAAAAAAGCTGGTTGTCAGTTCCACTAAAGCTTCTAGGACAACTCACTTGAGGGGGGCACTCATGCTTCAGTGTTCAATGAACTTGGATTTGGCCAGTTTTAACTGATTTTGAGAGTATTTCACAAATAACATAATTTAAAATAGTGAAACCATGAAAATAGTAGGAGATACACTTAAACATTTTCGTTTTTTATATATTAACCTGGCCTCAAAGTGATTATGTCCCTTTTTTTAAGCTGCTTACAAAACAAGCTTAAATGTCAACTCAAGTTTTCTTCTGCACTTCATTACAGGAAAACATTCTATAAGTGATGGTGTTCATATTATTAATCCTCTTTTTAAACAAGGCATCTGGATTCAGACATGCAAGCAAGATTATAAATGAAATAGTAATTTTTTTTGTCATTTTAATAGGCTACCAATGGAAAGCAGGGGATTCTGTATGCTTTTTCAAATCTAATCAGAGGTAGATAGGCATCTAAAGCACAACAGCCTCACGCTGGCACAAGAGAATGGAATTTCCTGGGAACATAATGAAACTGGCCAGCCTTCCTTCATTGGCCAACCTGAGTTAAGTTACAAAAATAGACAAAACCAAAAAACTAAACATACCGGGCTCAATCATGAATCCGTGGGCCCTGAACAACACAGCAAGGGACAAAACATCATCAGAGTCTCCTCCTTGTTCTTCTGGTTTCAGGAAGGGAAGAGAGAGTGCCAGGTGTCTATTCCAGGGTGATACACACACCATGCCAACACTCCATCCATTTTCTACCTTATTCCACCTCTTTCC